GATGCTAGATTTTAAATAGCTAGTAAAATTTCTTTTCTGAATAAAAAATTTACCAAAACGAAAAAAAAGGAAAATTAACAATTCTAGAGCTTCACCTTTTGTTCCAATTATTTCATCTGAGAATAATCTTCAAACTAAGGATTTCAGGAAATAAATTACCGATTTAGAGGCATGTCTAGTTTGTTTATCTTTCTTTCAATATCAAAAAGGTATCATTGTAAAAATTTTATAGTAAAATTATTAACTAATTCAAAGCAAGCAAAACAGAATATTACCCTTAACAGATATTTTTTAACAAAACTTAACTGACACAATAAACCGCACTTAAGTCATTCCAAAGTTACATTAACAAATATTATTAAACGACACATTTTGGAAATTAAGTTCGCAAAATAAATCTAAGAAATAAATTGACCGTATAGAAAAATGCTCTAGTCTAATATAATAATAGGATAAAACGTATACTAGCATATTCATAATCACGAACTCACAATCCGTACATTACGAACTCACTGAACTGACCAATCGGAAGCCACCATACCACCATTCCGCCATGTCACAATGACCCAAAGATGTAATGATGTAACTGTTAAGTAGTGGCTAAATTATAGTTAAACAGTGTAATCATAATTTCCTTTTTATATATTTGGTTCATTAAACTTAATGTAGAGATTTAAAAATACTTTAAACCGATGAATATAACATAAAATTTAAATATGTGTATTTATATTCAAGCTTGTAAAATTTATCCGAAACTTAAAGCTTTTGTTCGAGGATGCATTTGCGTCTATGATTCTTTTTAAAATTCACATAAAGAGGTTAGTTTTAAAAATTGTTATTTTTGTAACAAATATTTTAAATTTTACCTTGATTTTATTATTTTTATTCCTTGGTTATATTGCTTTGCTTAATGCAGTTTATTAAAGATAATTTTAGATATTAGTTTTATAAATAATTTATTAGTGTTTGAATTTGGCCGTGAGTTCTGGTGAGTTTATTATTATATTTTACAAAATTTA